CCAAAGAGGGGGTAAAAGGGGGGGGGGGGGGGGGACACAACCCTGTGGCAGGTTCTAGCGACTTCAGGTTATGCGCACAACAAAAACACCCCACCACCATGGGGTAGGACAATAGTATTGGCAAATGAATAAGATGGCAAGATACAAGCAATGCCAAAAGTTCGTGGGAAGTGGCAACGCAGACTTACGCCCACCACAAAGAGTGACCTCCCAAACTTTATATATACATAACACAACAAAACTCCTCCAAAGGGAGGGGAGGATGGGTAACAAAATTACTGTAACTGTTTGCTTTCGTGCAAGCTACACGAATAATGACCAGGTGTGAAATAGCAGAACTTTTATAGCCAGTCAGTGTCTCAAATCTCGACCAACAGATATAGTTGTATCATAAGCTACCTGGTCTTATCATGACAAAAGTCTAGCTACGAATAGGGCCTTGAAAACAGGGACCAATCTGCGCGATGCTAAGAAAAAATATGATGGCAAACTACCACAAATTAGTAAGGTTCCAGCCATGAACAGCTTTTGTTTGTATCTTAAAATTAGTGCGCTTTCATTCATGAATAAGGCTTTAAAGATACAACCGAGCATACATTGGGACAGGCTACCTAAGCCTACCCCTCCTGGGGCTTCATGTTACATTTACTGCATAAACGATAAACGTCTCTGTAAATTTTTCGACTTTTCTGTGCGACGCTCATGTCAATTTTCTCATTCGCCAAAAAACACGATTCTGCGTATTCGCTCTCTCTCTCTTACCGTTCAAAAAAAGGTCTATTTCCCTGTCTAATCAATTAAATCAGTATCTCCCTCCTAGTAGAGTCCACTTTTCAAGGTATTTTCTTAGCGGAGAAAATCAGTATTAACAAATTGATTATCCCACGGTGGTCCACAAGAGCAACGGCAAAACACAATAAATTTACAGCGAAATGAAACGTCAGGGTAAAATATAATCAGCTCACGGCATGTATATGTACATATGTTCAGTTCAACTTTTGACTCTCAGCCACAAAACTGGATTAATCAAGAGTATTAACAATAATCAACTCTAAATCAATACCTGAGAAACAGTATTTTTAAGATCGCTGTTCAGAAAGTGTTAAATTTGCACACAGCGCTTACTACTTGAAAACATAAATACAGTGTTTGTTGAAATCTGTAACAAACAAATCTCCAGTATTAGACAAAGCACAACCAGCAAGATAACTATGATGGCCAAAAAAACTCCCGGCTACCTTAGCGACATATTTTCCGTCAAGTGTGAACAGTTGCACTCTATCCGCATCACAGACGATCAAACGGTTAAACTTGTCAATAGCGAGACCGATGGGAAACCGCAACTGCCCGTTACCAGATCCCTCACTGCCAATGTCATATAGATACTCCCCTGCATTGTTAAATACCATGACACGGTAAGCTTCTGGATAAGACACAAAAAATTTGTCTTGCTGATAAACAGCACACCATGGCTCTGCATCACAACCAGGAGCACTGAACGACTGAAGTAAGTTTTTCCCATTAGGGCTGAGAACTTTGATTGTTTTGTCTTCCTTGTCACATGTGATTATGCGACCATCACTCCCAACAAATATGTACCACGGTATCTTGACATGTTCATCGCTGATGTATCGAATGAATTGACCACCCTCAGTGTACAAAAGAAGTTTATGGTACTCCATATCGACATTGCTAAGGAGGTCACCAGACTCGGTAAAAACCACCGAACACGTTTCAGCCTTCAGTGCTATCTCTCTGAGGAAACTCCCATCAAAGCCAAACATTTGAACTCTCCTATTGTTTACATCAGCAACAGCAAGCGTCCTGCTTTTATCATTCACAGCAATACTCGAAGGCCCGTCAAACTTCCCCTTCTTTTTCCCTTGTGATCCAAATTGAAACGCAAATTGATACTGATGCGGAATCACCTGCACGAACCAGGGACTACCAGTCAGCAGCTGTCCATTCACTTGGATTTCTACTCTATGTTGTCCAACACACTGTGGTGTGTATGTTACTGTGTACTTGCCGTCTTTGGTGTCTTTTATCTCTGTTTCCAGTTGATCATCTGCTGGAGTTAAAATATTGACTTTTACTTGATCATCTTCATGATAACACTGCTTTCCACCTGAATCTCTTGTTACAATGATGAAATTTGCCACAGTTTTTTCTCCTACAGGTTCATGATTGTCCACTTCCGCTAACGAAAGCAAAGGATCTGTGCTACTCACCACAATTCGATCAAAACCCGAAGTCAGTTGATTTTCGATTATATAATGTAGGTGTGGTGCGTTATAAATGCCAGGTTTTGTTACATTCAAAAGTTCTTCACAGCGTCCAACAATGATCTGATTTGTTTGAAGAATCTCAGCGCTGACGTTTCTTTCTAGTGCACTTTCACCTCGCTCAATGCAGCTTTGCAGTTGAGTCAGAACCAACTCAAAGTTTTCTAGTTGTGTCGCGTGATGTTTTTGTTGCGCTTCATAAATTTCAGCAAATTTGGCTTTCATGACCCTCTCATGTTCCCGTAATTCATGGATACGTTCCTCCACGGTATCTGCCATCTTCTTTTCTGCTGACAAAATCTCATTTTTGGTTTTGTCCATTAGCTCCGTTTGTTTCCTAATTTCGTTGTCGTAAATAACAGTTTCGGCTTTCACTTTCTCCAAAGCGTCCTTCATTTGCATCTTCTGTACTTGTGCCGCTTTCTGAGTGTCTGTCATGGTGTGTCGATTATGGCTAACTACACTGCACTTGTGGCAAATAAGAACTTTACATTCTTCGCAATAAAATTCCAGCGGCTGATTTTCGTGATATTGCTGTGAACACATGGCGGGTCTGTGGATCAACTCTTGAACATCTTGCACATTTAATTTCTCTATCACAACATTG